ATCTAGCCGTCCCGGCTACGACCATACTTCGACTTCCGGGTAGTGGAGCACAACACGGACATAACAATAACAACAATGCATCGTGGAACTTTGTACAACAACCGTAAGAGACGTAGAGTTAACGGAATGTTCTTCCTTGGGAGCGAGTTCCAGCTGCCGGCCCATTTCCCCTGAACGGGACACTGTGGGGCAAGCGCGGGGAATGCTCCCCTGTTAATTCAGGGCTGCGTCCGGTCCTCGACGCGCGCCCGTCCCTGTCACAGCGAGAAAGTGCGTCCTCCTGGTCCATCGCCGGGTATGCTGCCTGAGCGAGGGCCAACAGCGCGCTGCGGAGCGCGAGGGGGGATTCCGTGCCCTCCCGCTTCCTTTGCTGGAATCTACGTTTGGCGACCGACCGCGGCTCGTACACCTTCCGCATCGCCGCGAACGCCCTGTCCAGCGTCGACCGGACGGCGGCAGGGATTCCATTAAACGTCGCCAATGAATCGTCGTCGAGGGCAGTCGGCAGTGCCCGCAGTGCGTCGCTCTCAGTCCATTCGAGCGATTGATATGCCGCTCAGAACCGTCTCGTAAACGCTGTCCAATCGCCAACCTTGGCCTCAAATCGTTGGACGTGAAGTCGCCGTCCCGCTCTCGAAGGTGGTGCTCCATTGTCGTCCGATTCAGTTTCCGTTCCCCAGAAGGTGCGGGTCCATCGTCGGCGCGTTCCAATGCCGCGGGAACAGCTGCCGGACGACTTGACACCGTCGATAGCACCCGCTCCGTCGTCATAAAGCGGTCAAATGCCTCCGTCAACGTCGCCAGCCTGGCCTCCCACTGGGCCAGGAGGACTCCCCAGTCACCCGACGGCCCCGGGGTCTCGGTCCCGCTTGAGCCTCCATCCCGCTCTGCAGACACTTGCTCAACCAGGTCCTCCGGAGGAGTAACAGCCACTTGGCCCGACACGGGAATCGCGTCCACGTCGTTGCTGTCGTCGGACGAGTCCGTCGGCACGTTCTTTCTCTTGGCCGATTTCTTCGACATGTCGGCGTGGTTTTGTAGTAACCTCTAACACCAAATGTAGTGGTTGATTTCACTCGGACAACTTTTGTCTTTCTTCCAACACCACTTTATTTACAGTTCTCCACATGTCCTCAATGCTCCACAGTTCCCCTGTTGCCACAGCTCGCTCGCCGTGCTTCACTCGACTCGCTCGCCACCTTTGTCTCTCCGATCTCCGCTTCTCCGTCAGCTCCGATGTCTCTATGCTCTCTCCACTGCTGGCTGCTTTGTCCCTGCTCCCCACTCTCGGCTATCACCGTGCTCTCTCCACAGCTGGCTGCTTTGTCCCTGCTCCCCGCTCTCCGCTATCACCGTGGTCTCTCTACTGCTGGCTGCTCCGCCTCTGCTCTTCGCTCTCCGCTATCACTGTGCTCTCTCCACTGCTAACTGCTTCGTCTCTGCTCTCCGCTCTTCGCTATCACTATGCTCTCTCCACTGCTAACTGCTTCGTCTCTGTCTTCCACTCTTTGCTATCACTATGCTCTCTCCACTGCTAACTGCTCTGTCTTCCGCTCTCCGCTATCACTATGCTCTCTCCACTAACTGCTTCGTCTCTGTCTTCCGCTCTTCGCTTTCACTATGCTCTCTCCACTGCTAACTGCTTCGTCTCTGTCTTCCGCTCTTCGCTATCACTATGCTCTCTCCACTGCTAACTGCTTCGTCTCTGCTCTCCGCTATCACCATGCTCTCCCCACTGCTAGCTGCTTCTCTCTTCAGCTGCTCCACGTCTTGCCTCGTCCAGCCCCCGACTCCAACTCCCCGTTTCTCCTCACGTCTCCCCAACTTATCCCCGCTATCATCACACCCCAATTAATTAACCCGCGTCCCAACAACGCTCCTCGTGCCCGTGCACCTGTGACCTCGCCAGACTTCAAGACGCCACCTCAGCCCTGACAACAACACCAGCCAATCACACTTCAGCCCTGACAACAACACCAGCCAATCACAGCCGTCCTTGGCTCCCCCCAGCTTAATTGGCCCAATCGTTACCTCATCGTCCCAATATGACCCCCTACTGTCCTGCTCCCGTGCAAACTCACCAATTACCCCCCATGCGCCTATTTATTACACTGTAGTTTTATCCCTACCAAGGTTCCCGTTCCCATGAACTTCACGCGCCGATTCCTCCACCCATGCGGTGTGTAACCACCACAATGCAGGTCAAAACACTTCTCTGTCTGCTGCCTTGCACTGCTGGAGTTTGGAATTCACTCCCATCAACTCCTTTCCTAAGTTCTTATATCCTTGCTAAATTCAAGGCATGTATGAACTATTTTATCGTTACACAATTAAGTGCTTTTTGTTGCTGGTTTTTTTATGCCTTGGGCCTGTGCTCAGCAACTATACTGCACAGTATATTGTATTGACACGTGTTCATTGATGCATAGAACCCGTTGAGAAGCAAAGATCGGAAGTCATTCCTTATCTTGTGAGCAATGTAGTTCAGATATGGCTTAGGATGATGGCGGAAATGACATTATTGATTGTATCTCTTATCGCTGCATCAGATCACGTTTGCCTGAGACAACAATACTTTCCTTATTTCTCAAATTTCAACTGCCATCCGTTGGGAAAAAAATGAAGGTATTTTCAGGAATAGAAACAAACTGCCGGTGCTAAGGAATGCGAGTACAAAATCTCAGCATTCAATATTTATGGGTTTTGATCCTTGAGCTCGGGGAGACATAAATGAAAAACTGCAAATGTATTGCATAGTCAATGCATTTTTGTTCGTAGTCTTTTCATGCCTATTGCCAATGACGTAAAACCTTCAGGTTCCACTGAAATACCCAACTGTGTATCTGGGTGCACAGTTCACGCACACACTACTAAATTACAAACGTGCATTCTCTGAAACTTCACCGCGGCGTGAGACGGCGTGGTAAAATTATTGTATGTGTTCAACTCAAGGGTTCAACGGTACAATGCATATTATAGTGAACCTCGGGCATTACCAATCTTAGGCTTTATTATGTAATCATGTGGCCAGCTGGCTCAGAGGTCAAAGGACTGATCTGGCACCGTTGAGATCCTGGGGGTTTTGAATCCAGGCAGACAATCTGTGATTAAACCGGGTTCCCCGAGTCTTGAGCATTGATGGTCTCAGCCTGTCGCAATGACTGCACAAAAAAAAACACCAATCACATAAAAAAACAATCATAGCAGAGTTTACTATGATAAAGTAAACATATAGCAGTGTATTAGCATTTTCCTCACATGTATGTTGCACAATCTCATGGCAGAGTTTACTATGATAAAGTAATAATATAATAGCAGTGATTCATATTCTTGGTTCTTTCGGTAAAGTCACGTAGAAGGGAAACAATAAAATAATCAAAATATAAAACAATGCAATTCTCACGACGTTTCGACTGCAACACAAGCGATCATCATCAGGTGTGAAAACCACACCTGATGATGATTTCTTGTGTTGCAGTGAAAACCACACCTGATGATGATTGCTTGTGTTGCAGTCGAAACGTAGTGAGAATTTTATTGTTTTATATTTGTATTATTTTATTGTTTCCCTTCTACGTGACTTTACCGAAAGAACCAAGAATATGAATCCCTGCAGTCACGAAAGCTTTAAATAAAAAAATAATAGCAGTGGATTAATATTTCCCTCACATTTACTCTGCAGAGTCCAGCATTCCAAAATCCTCGGCCTTTTTGATTAAGCTTTACATGTATGACGCTGCCCATGATTGGGAGATAGAAGTTGTAGTTGGGGTGTCCCAAGGAACAAGCGATTACGAGTCAAAGAAATCCGTCTCACCAAATGCAAATTATAACATTACCACATGCGTACAATGATGGCCAGTAGCTATTGTACGCATGCCAGATTTTGCTGGCATATCACCATAATAGGTAGAATGGAGCACTCATGCTGGCCTTTCAGTTCACTTGTTCAAATAAAGTGCCAAAGAATCAGATGTAATTGCGTACGTCCTTCCAAAGGTCAAATGTGTAAATGATGAGAACATCCATCATAGCAGAAGCATTCCTTTCAAATACTTACCCTTCGTGCTAATAGGATAAAACAAATTCCATGAGGTAACTGGGAGACTCAGAGTATAGAGCGCTGAGCCGGCACTGCTAAGATCCCGAGTTTGAAACTGGGCAGCCACCCATGATTAAGCCAGGTTCTTCAGTATAGCAGTCACCAATGACAACACACAAATAAATAACCGTAGTACTTGCATGTTTTCAACTAACTTTGTTACATTTTAGCAGTGGGAATTAAAACATTTCCAGTGTGATCGGCGGCCTCATAGCAGTGTTTATCGCAATTTGCGAGCCTTGCTGCGTACATGATAAAAGGCCACTTGAAGAAATATTCTTTGTTGTTGAAAAGTCCGATTAAAAGTCTCTTCCATGGCCATACTCTGACTCAGGGTGGTTGCTCTTTGCCGGAAGACTTATGAGTGGGTTATTCAACTCGTTGACGTAATGCGTGTATTGTAGCTAAAATTGTAATAAAGCGGTGAAAAAGACAGGAAGGTTGTTTAAAAGTATTTTAAAAAATAACTTCCCTTAGTATAAAAATTACAATTTCTCAAGTGTGTTTCTATTAGGCATACACAACTTGCCAACAGGTATACCAACGTGTTGCAAGTCAAACACGACCTCATTTGATTTATTGAGCCTGGCGGTAATAGCCAGGGCATGAGGGCAGCAGCACATCTAGGTCCCAGTTTTAAGTAAAAATGAGGATGTCTAATCATTCCAGTTTGCCCAGAGGTTTCTGGTTTCATTAACTTTTTCTTTTTAATTGCATACTTTTTTCTCGTTTTAAATTGGCCCAAATTACTATAATAGAGTATTATTGCATGGGGCACCATTACCGAATCATGCTCAATGCAGGAGAGGCTTTGATGTGCCTTTAAATGACCTGGCAACTCGAGTCAGGATATTTAAAAAAAAACTTACCACAAACAAACGGTAGGCTTACATTTATGCATCCTTGAAGTGAAATTTATTGTCGAGCATGTGGAACAAACTCTGGACAGCTGTTTCATATGTATGGTGTACTGTATATTTCAAATTTAAACATTCTGTTTAAGCAGTGTGTACGATCAGGCCTTGACATCTGCTTTACAGCTGTGGTTGAGCATTGGTCTTGTCAAACAATATAATTGCCATGGGTGGTGTTTGAGGAGGCAAGGGTTTGGCATAGTGTTTTAGGAGGCAGCTACAGTATTCTTCTGGCTTCACTTTCCCAGAATTCCCAGAAATGTGGGAAGGCGTTTTCAATCAAACAGCCTCATAACTGGGAGTGGAAGTGGCAAGATTGAGTGCTCCTTTGAAGCACAAAGGCAAGACTTGCACGAGTTTTTTTGTTAAATTGGTATTGCTGTTTTTCATCAAGTAAAAACCGCCTTTATTACCCCTGTAACATGGCTGAGTGATAGCGTGTTTGCTGCTTGCTGAAGGGGTTCACAGTTTGATCCCAGTAGCTGCCCTGGTTAATACTGTGGGCGTATTCATGAGTAACATGTGTAGTCCGCTTCAAAGTTAAATATCCTGTCATACTTTTTTGCACAAGACAAGGTCACTTGTGTCAGCTTCACAGTCCATATTGAAACAAAAATACCCACAAATTATTTAATCAGGTAAAACCACATGGCAACGTCATTATGATAGTCTTGCGCTACAAGAATGGCACAAAAACATAATACGCAGGATACATTTCTAACAATAATAATTTACAGCCCTTTGTCAATCCATTGCTGAATGAAGGTTCCCCATATCATGCCAGTCATGGAGGTTGTTTGACCACACTTCACAGCGGTGGTTAGCTCATTTGGGTGAAGATGGGGGCTAGAACTGGATCAGATATCACTCACCACCGATCTTAGCCGTGGCCTGAAATTTAACTCGGTTCGCCAGGTTCATATCGCAGTGCGATAATCACTGTGCCACCCTTCACCCCTATTGCCCCTATGCAACGATAGAAATGTCACGCAAATAAACCATTTGTTCCGCAATCAAGAGTGGCTCAACTTCAAATAGATAAAGAAAAACCTTGTGCGATTAAACCTTTGTAATACTCCAAGCCACTGCATCAACAAACAAAATAGTTGTACGATGTAGTGCATTTATCTACACAGTTCAGCTTGACTTGACAGTTCTCAATCACTCCCATCTCACGAATGCTAGGAGTCGAACTTTCCAGTAACAAGCAGTACCAAACGTCAGTGTCAACTGTGCAAATGGATGTTTGTCTACAAGTTAAGCTTAGTAAGCAAATCTGAAAATGTTACAGCAAGAAAGATTGTCATTGTAGTTCAGCTCGCGACTGAGATGAAACAGGAAATATCTCAAATAGCAATGTCCTATCACCCACATAACTTAAAAGATATTGGATATGAAAAGTAGTAAAATAATGAAATATTTCCTTTAGAGGGCATACGGTATGAAAGCATATTATATATATTTAAAAGCCAACTCCACATCTGGAAACTCTTTTTGCCTCATAACTCAAGTTGGACAACAATGTTGCCAGCAAGATCAGGGATAAAAATCCAAACCAGACCAGCAATAGCAAGGTTTCTCAAAGAGTGGAATGGTGGATAGAGGGGCAAGCCCCGTAGCATAACCTGATTTCAAGTAGGGGGTTTAAAAAGTCTGTGGGAGGACGCGATACATAGATTAAACAAACGGCAAGCGCTTAAAAAGACCCGAGCAGTGTGATACGATCCGCTTTTGCCAATCCTGCATTCTGTCGTAGCTTTCGCAAGTTTCGGTCAACACACACAAAAAAACGCATCAAAAGCACCCATTATGCAAAACCGTCATCAGTTTCTGAAGAGGAGCATCGTTCTTGGTCTTCTTGCCTATAGTCATCAAAATAAATGAGCAAATGTGACCGACGGACAAGCAGCAGTGGTACAGATACACAACTGTATACTGGTTTCATCGTGATTACGATGCATTCGTATAGAACAATCTGCCTCTTGGAACCATATATAATACATTTGAAGTCTCTACTTCCACACCGTGGGCCCCATTATCTTGGTTATGCCAACAATAATCGAATCTTTACTCTTTGGTTCTATTCGGTAGTCACGTAAAAGTATAAAACAACAAAAAATAGAACCGAAGAGTATGGATCCTTGCAGTCCTTGCAGTCACGAAAGCTTCAAATCTAAAATAATCGAATCTGTAAACGACGAGATGGTGATGACGGCGTTTTCTTGCTGTTTACTGCACCCCCTATGCATGAGACATTTTCGATGTAGAATGACTTGAATATAGGAATGTGGAAGGAGGGCTGAATCCAGAGCCTAATTTGAACGTACCTACAAACTATGGTTTTCATCTTGTTCGGTAAACCCTCATAGATACAGCAGTTTGTTTTTGCATAAAAATACATACAAACGTTTTCAACACTTTATTCTGTTATTTTCTTTTACGTTTTCAGAGTCCATCCCTGGCATATTTTAATCGTTTTAGATAAGGCTCCTTCTCTGGCTGATTCAGATGCTTAAGGAGCTGTTAGAAGGGGGTGGTTTTTTGTTTGGGAGCTGGATACAAGAAGAGTGGAGGAGAAAAAGAGTGGCAGGGAGAGGGTGGGGAGGGGAATGCTGTGGTGGTGGCAGGGAAGGTGCCGGCCGAGGGGGCGAGTTTGGTGGTGCTGGTGAAGGCGAGGGGGGGGGGAAAGTTGCCCTTTCAGGCGCCAGGGTCGAAACCCTACAGCACAATGGCCCGTCGGCTCGAATAACAATCTATTTGTGTCTCTCCTTTCATTCCGCTGCTCTTGGTGCAGCCCAGTAGCAGAAAGGCAAATGAAGGCAAAGCAAGGCAAGGCGAGCACGTCAGCAGCCAAAACCAGCACGGCATCGGCTACCCCAGGAGTGGCCAGTCACGCTTGGCATGCGGACGCGCGCGTGTACGTGTGTGTGTGTATTCTCACATTCCAGTGTTACTCCGAACTGCGCCAAACACAATTGTTTTCACCCCCCCCCCACCCCGACCCCTGCCATCCACACGACCATTTTTTTTAAGCATTGCATGAAACCAGACAATCTTGTGCTAAAGCTTTATTTCGTTGGCAAGCTCTTGGAAGATCGACTACCGTGGATTGAAATGATGTATTTCTCGATGAAAATGTCATAAGAATTGGGTTTTCTATTTTCGCATTGGGGTGTCGTTGGTTACGGCTGGTACGAGTGGTGTCGCGGTTGGTTTCCATGTTTGTGCTCCGAATCCTGCGTCCTAAGTTCGATTCCCGGTCATGCCTTGCATCAGCCACGAGGGATGGAAGTCCAGGGCATCCATACACCAGTCACAAACCCGCGCTGACAAGCGTGATGCAGTATGGTCAAACATTCCTCACGATCCTCCATCCAGCAGTTGATTAACACGGGGGCTGTACAATATTGATTCCTATTAGCCAGCCATGGGGTAAAGCAAGTACCTTTACAAATGGTAATAATGCAGTGCATTTTCGTGTACGAAAGCTTAATTTTACATGTGGTGTAGTGTTACGTCCCATTTTTTTTGGAGTAAGCTATTGCTCATACAAAAATAATTGTACTGTGTATAAATAAATACATGTGCATTGACATTTATGAACGTGATGTAAACCGTCTTTTTGTTGTTGTAGACACCGCACCGTTGCTGCATGCAAGCAAGTACCTGGGGCGCATTCTTGGCGCGCGCACGTTTCAATCGACGCGATAACGCCAAACTATAAGCGCAGACGGATGGTCGATGGCTCAGCGTATCAACCAAAAAAAAAATGTAAGCGCTGAAAATTTAAGAACGGCATTTATACGAGAAGTGTATGCGTGAGCGGCGGGTTTGCATTTGAGAGATGCGGCGGGTGGGAGGGGTAAGTAGGACTGTCCCCCCCCCCCCCCTCTTTCGTGCACCATTTCCTGAGAGGAAGGGATTTTATTTCTCTTTAAAACCTCCAGTCCATGGCCTCCGGTGCAACGTGAGAAGGCGGGCATGACATGTGTCTACGTGATGAAAGACAGCTGCAGAAAAGCCTTTGAGTCCCCAGAGAACACGACTGGGCTGCAAGCAACTCAGCCCTGTCTGCTCCCCCAAACTAATTGCCACCCAGATCAAATGCATGCGGATGAACAACGCTCTATGAAACATTTATTAACATTTGCCTCTTAAATATGCACATAAAAAAAATGAAGACATGAAGGCGATGAGGGTTTAAAAAAAAAAAAATCTGTGTTACGCTGCTGTTGCGTCAACATTGAGGACGCTTTAATTGTTGCGTTGTTATTGGTGCGTGGGCTGGTGACTTCGGTATGCTGTGTGTGCATGAAACAAAACTTGGATCAAATTTGCACTGGGGGTGAAATAATGGTCAGGTCACGTTAAGAAATCAAAAGTGGGCAGTCTACTCTTTACGTTCGGTTTTTGTTTTTGTTGTGCCAGCAGCAAGTCTGATCGGATATATGTACACGCACGGGCGTTATAAGTTGTCACTGGCAGTCGTATAAATATCACCACAATGCAATGAATTGCATTGGTGACAGACTTTAAGAGCAAGTTAACTCATTGGCAACCGTAGAGGGCGTGCTTAACCCCATAAGATTTTATAAGCAGCGCTCATGCAAACGACAATTACGATCCGCATACGTGTGACCCAGCAGTTTGTGTGTGCATGCAGCGTTCTGAAAGGGAATTGTACGTTTTAAAATGTTCTAGTTTGATCAACTGCATTTATATTTTTTTAAGTGTTCTTTTTTGTAAAAAAGTTTGGGTCACAGTTTTTAAATTACAAGAGCGTAACTCTCTATGCCTTCTCCCGCAGAAAACAAAGCAATAAAATGCCAACTTCTGGATGTTTTTTTTTGCGTCTTTTGGTTCATTATTTGACCCCCAAAAATAATTTGTATTGAAACAAAGATACGTGTACAGGTTTGTACCGGAACTGATGAATGCCTTACCTATACGTATCGCTCAGTCGTCCGTTGTTTAAAACGAATTGTAATTGTGCGAATAATGTGCGAATAATGTACAAGTCAAGTAAATTTGTAATGCGGCAATTGCAGTCGAAATGAGCAGTGAGGCTTGAGTTTACAATTGTTTAAGAAAATATATATACCTTACAGTTAGCCGGTGAACACAAGGCTGCAGGATTATTGGCTTGAAAAATAAAATTGCCAACTTGCATTCTATCCTCCACAAAGCGATGTCAAAAGCTACTTCAGGTTAAGTCGGCACTGAATGTTTTTCCAATCATTTACGTTTGTGTTTTGTCTGATCAGTTTACCACTGTTTGACATTTAAAAGTAGGCTTAATGACCCTGTCACGTTTGTCACACACGGCTGACGGGTTTAAAAAAAATCTCTCCTGGCGAGATCTGTATAAGGAGAGCAAACAATGTTGGAAGTTGTTAAAAGTATACAGCATTTTAATGTTCCAACTAATAATTTGTACAAAAAATGCAATATAATATACTGCAGTGTTATATAAGGATATTCACATGAGGGAAAAAAATTGTACAAAACAACTATTGACTATTGGTCATTTAAATACAAATATAATCAGTTTACAGGTCTGTACAAGGATCTGCTTGAATAAAAATTGCCTTTTAAAAGCCAGACTAAAATACATACATATGTATATTTACTTATATGCATACTATGTGTGTCTATTTTCTGTATAGAATATACAGTTGCGACCAAACCCCAACATTTGAAGGGGTTTTCCCCCCTCGCCCCCTTCCATCTTGCTTCAGTTCAGACCGTGGTTTCACCTTTGTTTCCATTTGCAAGTTTGGTATAAAATTTCCTCCAAGAATGCAAGGTCTTACCCGACCAGATCCAGAAGCCAGACGTGATTCCCACAATTAGCGTCATCAGATACTTGATCATGAAGACGGTGAAATCTGGCGCCATGTGTGGGTAATGATTCACCGGGCAAGGGATGGCAAAGCCCTTGCACGACTGGGACACCCACGTCTTCTCCCACTGCTCGCGGAACGCCTGCTCGTAGAAGTAGCACGCGATGACGATGGTGGCGGGCACCGTGTAGAGCACGCTGAAGATGCCGATCCTCACCATCAACTTCTCCAGCTTCTCCGTCTTGGTGCCGTCGTGTTTCATGATGGTGCGGATGCGGAAGAGCGACACGAACCCGGCCAGCAGGAACGAGGTGCCCAGGAAGAGGTAGACGAAGAGCGGCGCGAGGACGAAGCCGCGCAGCGCCGCCACGCTGCTGATGCCCACGAAGCAGACGCCGCTGAGCATGTCGCCGTCCACCAAGCCCATGGCGAGGATCGTGATGGTCTTCACCGCGGGGATGGCCCACGCGGCCAGGTGGAAGTACTGCGAGTTGGCCTCGATCGCCTCGTGGCCCCACTTCATGCCCGCGGCGAGGAACCACGTGAGCGCCAGCACGACCCACCAGATGGAGCTGGCCATACTGAAGAAATAGATGAGCATGAAGAGGATGGTGCAGCCCTCCTTCTTGGTGCCCTGCGTCACGGTCCTGTAGATGTCCTCGGAGAACTGCTCGTTGCACACCACCTTGTCGTCGAGCAGGAAGCCTGCCACGTACGCCACGGCCACCATGAAGTAGCAGCCCGAGAGGAAGATGATGGGCCTCTCCGGGTACCGGAACCGCTGCATGTCCACCAGGTACGTGGTCACGGTGAAGAGGGTGGAGGCGCAGCAGAGCACCGACCAGATGCCCACCCAAAGGCGTGAGAAGCGCAGCTCCTCCTCGCTGAAGTACATCAGCCCGTTGGGCTTCTTGGGCTCGCAGGGCGCCGCGCAGTTCCTCTCCCTGAAGAGCTGAGCGTTCAGATAAGGAGGCACCTTCAGCACCCTCGGGCACATGAACGGGTGCGTTCGGCCGGGGGGCCTTCGCGTGTGGATGGTCACGAAATCTCCGGCCCCACCGCCGATTCCTCCGATGACACCGCCGCCACCGCCCGGCGGCGTGGGCGGCAGCGCCGTGGGTCCGGCTTTGTCCGTGTGGTTCTGCCCGACGCAGATCTCGTCCGAGCCCTGCACGGGGAAGTTCTCGCAGCGGAGCCGCTCCGGCCACTGGAAGCCGAATTTGTTCATGAGCGCCTCGCAGCCCTGGCGGGCCCTGTCGCAGAGCGAGCGGCACGGCGGGATGGCCTTCTCCAGCACGGTGCACACGGGCGCGTACATGGAGCACAGGAAGAACTTGAGGTCGGGCGAGCACTGCACCTTGACGAGCGGGTAGAACTGGTGCACCTCGAGGCCCGCGTCCTCCTGGTTGGTGTGGCCCAGCAGGTTGGGCATGATGGTCTGGTTGTACGGGATGTCCGTGCACAGCGGGATGGAGATGGGTTGGCAGAATCCGTGTTCGGGAACAGAGATGGCCCGACCACCTCCTCCACCGCCGGTGTCTCCACCTGCTCCTCCTCCTCCTCCAACATGCTGTTGGGCCCAGGTCCTCGTGGATGTGAGAAGCAGCAGCAGTGCCAGCGGCAGCACCGACGTCCAGCTATGATGATGATGACAGGCTGCCTCTCTTCGGGGCACCATCCTGACCATCGCGATCATCCCGCCCGCGCTGCGCTGTGCCACAGCGCTCCGTGCACGGATCCCCAAGACCTCGCCGGCTCACCCCCTTGGCTTGAGGGGTCCCTTACCCCCCACAACCCCCACAACCCCCCAAAACAACAACCCCCACCCAGTAACGTGACAGGCGCACCAAGTTACTATCAAACAACTTGCGCTGCTGCTGCTGTTGTTTTAAATCAAACAAAAGTCCGCACACGTTTGTGGCTGGCTGCAAGGCGACCGAAACACAAAAAAAATCCAACTCGGCTTTCGCGTGGCGGCTTATTGCGCGCGACGAGCACGGTGGTTAAAAGTCAGCGCCGCCGCCGCCACTCGCCGCCGCCGCCTTGCATCTTTCTCCTCGGGGCCTCCTCAACTCGGCCGTGAGTTTCTCGCCTCGTTGTCGACGCGCGCCCGGGCTGCCACAAAGCCTCGACACAACTTCCTTTCTCCGCAGTTAGCCACGGCGCTGGCATCGCCCGTCCCGCCGCGTTCGTCTCTCCGCGTTCGCTCCTCGCTCCTCTCGCCGCCGCCTCCTCTTCCCAAAGCTGAGTCTGAAGTCCGATCCCTCTGACAGCCGTTTCCAGGCGCCCCACCCACTACCCCACCCTGCACCCCCCTCTCTCTACCCCCCTCTCTCTACCCCCCCACCCTCTCTACACCCCCCTCTCTACCCCCCCCACCTCTACCCCCCCCACCTCTACCCCCCACCTCTGCACCCCCCCCACCTCTACACCCCCCCCCACCTCTACACCCCCCCCCACCTCTACACCCCCCCCCACCTCTGCACCCCCCCCCCACCTCTACACCCCCCACCTCTGCACCCCCCCACCTCTACACCCCCCCCCACCTCTACACCCCCCCCACCTCTACACCCCCCCCCCACCTCTACACCCCCCCACCTCTGCACCCCCCCCACCTCTACACCCCCCCCCACCTCTACACCCCCCCCCACCTCTGCACCCCCCCCCACCTCTACACCCCCCACCTCTGCACCCCCCCACCTCTACACCCCCCCCCACCTCTACACCCCCCCCCCACCTCTACACCCCCCCCACCTCTACACCCCCCCCACCTCTACACCCCCCCACCTCTGCACCCCCCCACCTCTACACCCCCCCCCCACCTCTGCACCCCCCCTATCTCTACACCCCCCCCACCTCTACACCCCCCCCACCTCTACACCCCCCCCCACCTCTACACCCCCCCACCTCTACACCCCCCCCACCTCTACACCCCCCCCACCTCTACACCCCCCCCCACCTCTACACCCCCCCCCACCTCTACACCCCCCCCCACCTCTACACCCCCCCCACCTCTACACCCCCCCCACCTCTACACCCCCCCCCCCACCTCTACACCCCCCCCCCCACCTCTACACCCCCCCCCCACCTCTACACCCCCCCCACCTCTACACCCCCCCCCCCCCCACCTCTACACCCACCTCTACACCCCCCCCCCCACCTCTACACCCCCCCCCCACCTCTACACCCCCCCCCACCTCTACACCCCCCCCCCACCTCTACACCCCCCCCACCTCTACACCCCCCCACCCACCACCATCGGTAAGGGTGGGGTGGAGGGAAGCGCCACGGATCCATCCGCCTTAAATGGGCGGCTCCGCGGGCCGCCTAGAAACCCGCGCCGTTGGTGAGGGCGTGAGCCAGCAACAGGGCCCGCCTCCATCCCCCATCCAACACGCACAAAACACGTAAAGACACCACACACACATGGTGGAAATTAAGCTTTTCGTTGCTTTTGGTTAAAAAAAAATTATCCGTTAGTGTTGGGAATTTTTTTTTTGGGTGGGGGAACACATGACACATACACGTACGCAGCATGTCATAAACAAATGAGTGTGTGCACCTATGTACATATCTGTGAACCCCTTATCAGTGCCTTACCGTATTACAGACCAATTCAGACCTTTTCGGTCACCCCGTGCCCTTATACATCTCAACGTTCATCCCACAAAGTCCCATCAACAAGGGAGAAACACAAACAGACACTTTTTTTTTGTTGTTGCCTGTATTTTTCAAACGGCTGTCCGTATGGACCTGAAAACTCAATTTCCCCTGTACAAGAAGCCGTATGGGTTGACAGGTATGGTATGTTATGAGTGGTGCAAAGTTGAATAAGTTTCATCTTCTCTGGTTCTTTCGGTAAAGTCACGTAGAATGAGAATAAAATAAAACAATACAATTCTCACGACGTTTATTGTTTTATTTTATTATTTTATTCTCATTCAACGTGACTTTACCGAAAGAACCAAAGAAAATGAACCCTTGCAGTCACGAAAGCTTTAAATCCAAATTGAATAAGTTTGTAAAGGGCACCGCACTTGTGTTTTCGTACAATTTAGGAGGTGGTCGGGGCAATGGTAGTCAACCAGCGGATTCTTGAATCTGTCCGTGTTGAACTAAAATTGTTATTCGGTCATATATGTCGGCTTTCTCTCCGTATCGTTTCCTGCTCACACATTAGGCCAAATGCTCATTCATGGAATTGGCCAAACATCCCAATGCAGGACCCACCTGAAAAAAATATATTCTTGAGATTCACTGAGGTTTTCCTGGGTAAGGGAAAGGGATTATTATTCGTAGCTGTAGTCCTGTTTGAGGAGTCCAGCGGGACAATTACAGTCAAGTGAGGAGGGAATAGTGTGTATGTTGAAGTTCTTTCGCACCGTACGTAGCCAACCGCGGCTGATTGTAAGTGCGGTGGAAGGACAACAAACTAAGCACAAAAAGCAGCTCCAAAGAAATTAATGTTCAATCTTAATTTAAAAGCGGCTTCCTAACATCGGAAGGAAGAGCGTTCCAGGCGGCCGCAGAAGCGCACCTGAAAGCGCCGCGCGATGCGGTGACCATCTTTGTTCGATGGTTAGCCAGAAGCCGCTGCTGCGAGGATGACCGGAGTGTGCGTGATGATGGATTATGCTTCTGGATGAGTATATGACTTGTCTCCTCGAAAGGTTTTGGGGTGGGGGACAATTCCACCCTAATGTTACTTTGGGTATGACTCCCCACAATAATCAAAAACATGCATTCTTACGAAACTCGGACGATGAGTCGGACAGAAAAAGTCGGTTAATCGTTTGAAAGTGTAATGGGCTATTTGTGTGGTCGATCACTCGCGCGCCTACCTCTCAAAGGCAGAAAACTCCCTACAACCCATTCGCAGCGTGACGACGCTGCTGATGATTCCCGTTGACATCACCAAGCTCTGCCCATCATCTCCCGTCCAGCGGCACACGTGGGAATAGAGATGAGACTTCCCCCCACCTCCCCCCGCTATTTTAAGTGACCTGATGCATCGTGAAATCATACCGATAATCGGTACAGTAATTGATTACTTCACCAATCGGATAGCGCAGCTCTAATACTGTATAATTCTTTCTTGTGATCTCTGTGGACACTTTATAGGTGCCAAATTGCCAAAAGCGCGAACAAATGCATCGATGTATTGAATGGAATCACAACTCGAGTCGTGAAAGTTGATAGAATCATGATTGGGGGCGGTGGGGGTGGTGAATTTGGCACAGGGCCTAAAATTTAATAAAGTATGGTCTATAAAATGGACATTTCCAAAGTCCTGCACGCTGTACCTCACATGCAACTTAGTAGAGGCTGCCAGATGATAGCCTTTAAAAATAGCCGAGCGATGAGTGAATTACTAATTTTGTTTTGACCACGAAATAACTCATTATATTGGGGCCCGATAATGTACGAAAAAACGGACGGCAGCTGAACTGTGTCATTTAATGTTTAATTAGATCTGCGTTATTGTATTGACTGGAATCGCTGTTTAATGAATGCACAGTACTGCATTCATTGAGCGGAATTTTTAAATTGTTGGTTAAAGGCTAACAGCTGTTATGACTATTATAAAAAAATATTTTCACTGTACTTATAAATAACTTAAACGTGTACAGAGCTGAGCTGCCCGATGATTTAAGTAGTCGATTGATTACCCTCGTGATTCTTTTTTCGATTACTCTACTAATTTCATCGTGTAACACCGTAAATGATTGTTGGGATGACAATCTCAATCTCTCTCCCCACGTGTGTCGCTGGACGGGACGTTGACGCGTGGTTTCAGGGGATCATAGTGTTGGGGCTGCCAACATTATTAAAGAGGCCCGAGTCATCAGCCACAAAAGAGTAGTCGATCATTTTTTATCAATGGTCTTAATCAGATCAATCGTTGCAGCTGTAATCCCGTAAAACATATGTTGCATTTGCATATTTACACGTCGATATCCCAGTGTAAATCGTGGCTTTTGTTATCCCATGGTCTACATGGAAAGCGGACACATTCAGGTAAAGCAACGGGGTCTTTATCCAGCAACAGATTTGGGAGCAATACAGTACAAATTTGCCGCTTATATATAAAATAACCTGGAATGAGCCTGACCTCTTCAGACATTGGAAGCTAAGCAGCGGTGAGCCTGGATCGTGTTTTCATGAGCGACTACCACGCTCGAAAGACAGGTGCTGTAGGTGTCGCAGGCAGCAGAGGGCAGTGCAGAAAGAAAAAAATCATACATTCTTGTTCTACTTTTCCCCCTCCCCCCGATCCTTCAACACAGACTGACCAGGGTGGTGAGGTATGGTCAAATAACCATAAGGGCCTGCAAGGCATGGTGGGGAGGCCCTCATCCAGCAGTTTATTGATGAAACACGGATGTACATCTATATACATTTGTCACGAAAGCTTTAAATCGAAATTTGTCACATATTTAAGAAAATGTTTTATTAGGTATTCTTTACAAAAAGAAACTGGATTACAGTATCTCATGGGGCTCACATCTTCTCATCGATTAAAAAAAATATTTTACGTACGAAGGAAAATTAACAAAAACAAAAAGGTAATTAAACGTGAAGTTTAATCATTCTACAACTAACTTGGTAGTTTTCGGTGTTAATTATAAAGTTTATATTCTTGGTTCTTTCCAAGAACATGAATCACTGCAGTCACGAAAGCTTTAAATCAAAATATAAAGTTTATGTTAACGTTAGGGCTTTCATTTTGAGGGCATGGGTTAAAGCCTATCGGCATGATACTTTTTTATTTTGTGGAAGTGCATTGTCAGCATTAAATGATTGCGTTTGTCCCATCTGATTTCACATTTATAATATTCATTCTTGTTTGTCTCATGCAGGGGTGGGGAAAGTCCGGCCCGCGGGCCGTACGATGCCCACGGAATAATTTGGTCTCTGGCCCTGCCAAGGCAACCGCAGGCGGGACTCGAAATTCAATAAATCTAGGAGCAAACCTGGAAAAGCAGTTGCGAGTAGCGACATCATCAATACCAGCTAACATCACCACACGCCTCACCGCAGAGAAGCAGTTCCAGCCATCACATTAGGGGCGAGTTAATTAAATGTTTGACCAAATATAAGAGGGTAATTTTTAAGTTGATAATTTTGTATGGCCCGCAAATGATGTTATAAATATCCAAATGGCCCTTGGCAGAAAAAAGGCTCCCCACCCCTGGTTTAATGTGTCACTGCTATGATAGCCTGACCCCCTTCTCCTTACCCATTTTGCTTAATTTGTGCCTATAT